TTGTTAAAGCGAATCCAATGATATTTATCAATGATTTTTTTTAATTCTCTGTCACTATCCGTTTCATTTGTTATAATTATTTGTATCGTTGAAGATTTGCTTACTTCAAAAGGCGATCTTCCTCGAATTACGATTTGTTAATACGAACGCGAAGCTTAGAAAGATTAGTATTTATCACATTTATGCTATGTATTATGTTCACTTGTACCTTGTGATTTTCTTTGAATTACAATTCAAAGTTTGTTAAAGAGAATGTCGAGCTGTTATTTTCAACTACTGATAATAGTTTTCTCTAATAGAATTTCATTTCACACACATATGTGTATTTATGTGTGTGTGTGTGTTAATAGAAACTAGATTTGTGTGTATACATACATGTATATTTTTTTATCATTGCACCGTCTCATATCTCTCAGAACACTGAATATTACATACCCGAGATTATATTTAGTTGCACGTTTGTTGGCGCCAAGAATCGAGCTGAAGCGTCAAAGTCGAAGGTCTTTCCGCTGATAAATCAGCTCTAAAGTCTTTGATTGATCGAGTAGATCCGTTTTATCAGGATAAAATCATCGTACCAGCGACCGTAGCTCTCGCTGGTCTCGAATTTTTGAAAAATCACCGTGATTTGCGAGTCGACGATTCTCGAGTTAATGCTCTCTGCTTAATGCCCCCTCGAACTTTATTATATTTTTCGTCCAGTTAATACCATCTGATCGCTTGATCTCCGTTCAGAGACTCGGACGTTTGAAAACGCGAACAAGTCGGCCATAGAACGAGACAGACAAACTTCTTATTTCGTGAGCCACGGAGAAAATGTCGTGCAAAAGTTTAACAGATTCTCTTTCTTGACGGATTTTTTTTTTTCAATATAACTTTGATCCCTACGTGGTACGTCGTATTCGTTCAATGTTGCGAAATTATTTATGTTTTTTTTTAATCACATTTGCGCGACAGATCATGCGTTCTGTAAATGGAACATTTTCGAATACCTTTTGTGCAAAGAGTATAACACAACGCGATCTTATCATTACATATATCGTAACAGAGATTATATTCATAATTACATATGGTATATTTATGCACGAAATGAAAGAAAAGCTCACATTGTTAATTCCGTTAAGTCCTCAGGAACGACTGTGCACTGTAATAATTTCTATGTAACCTTTCAAAAATTATTTCAACGATATTAATCTTTATAATTATACGTATAAACGAAGTCAACGTGTGACCATTTATCGTCTTCATTTAAAGCTACGAAAACTGTGGTAAATTTCTGGTTTAGCAGTTTCTCCCAATTTTGACTATTTCGCTGCCGTTTACTAATTTAATAAAAGATTCATTTTTTACTATTTTTTATCATTTATTACTAAAACAAAAAGTTTAATCGGGAGAGATTGAAAAAGCTTTATATTTAAAAAAAAAAGCGTCATGTCAAAAACATTGTACACAGTAAATTGGGGAAGGCCATTAAATTTAGAAATTTACTAAAATCATTATTCAACTCGAAGTAATTATTATTATTAATCTCAATCGACGAAAATGATCAAAAAGTGTAAATTATCGATATTAGGTGTCATTTTTGAAAGATTAAGTTATAATGATTGATCTGATGTAAAAGATCATGGTTAATTTCATATTTAACTCTGTTGTGATCCTCGAACGGATACTCTCGTTTCAACAAATGAAAAAATATTTGATATTTTTTTTTAAAAAATCTGTGGCAAGATTAAAACACTCTCGTATTTCTATCATTAGTATTAATACAAATACTAATGACAGAAATGATAATAGTATAACAGCAATTGTTGTTTCACTGTTTGAATAAATTTCTTAATAATGTAATAACATCTTCGAGTCGAGACTGAATCGATGAATGCAACAGAGTTTGTAATTACGTGTATAATTTGTTCAAGTAATCAAGCGACTCTGAAGATACTTGAACTAGATAGATTAGGAATTATTTCACCAACTATTTCTTCTCCCAATGATTTCTGCGATATTTAATGTTTGATCAACACAAAAAAAAAAAAAAGGATCTAATACAGTGTAATTTTAATAAAACGATTAGAGACGATTGCTATTGTATAAATGGTTTCACTGCATTTACCAAGCAAGCAGAAATTATAAAAGAAATCCTACTTTTTTAGGCAGTGTCGTACGATACTAAAATTAAGATGCTATCACTAAAGTATATTGTAAGATATAGAAATCATAGAAAACGGCATGGAAAACAATCCTTTAATTATCTCGAACACTGTACTTGGAATAATAAAGTGTTATATAAAAGCGGTATATGAAAAAGTGTTATATAAAACATGCTATCGTGCAATAAAGTGAATAATACATCAATGCAGAAATAAAATGAATCGATGAAAAAATAGCAAACATGATAAATTCGTAAAATCGATGTGTAAATAGGACGTTTCTGTCTTGCAGAAGATTGAAAATGATTCAGCAGAGAATAATAATGAAAAAGAAAGAAAGAAAGAAAAAAAAAAGGGATTGAGAAGACGATGAGGGGGAAAAGGTGCTTAAAGTTTGAAATGTCAAGGTTTCGAAGATAATGAAATGGTATCTGGTTTCGCGGATCCTCGTGCCGCGGGGAAATTGAACCTTATATTTGAGCCTCAGCAAGAAACAATCGATCCTCAGTCTCTCGACGATGAACTGGCGTTCAACGAGAGGAACAAACATGACGGACAATCAATTCCGTCGCAATTCAGGCGAAGACGATTCTTTGTCGCGTCGCGTCGAACCAGCGAAGGACATTCTAATCGCGAATAAGAGAGACAAACGTTCGCGCGTTTCGTTCTCTCATTCTCATTCTGCCATTCTGAAGAGATACTTTGCTTCGATTATCGACGTCCGTGTTGGACTTCCGACATAATAGACTTCTTTTGCTCTTCGTCGCTCTTTGTCGGTCGACTGATAATCTTCGTCAAGATGTGTCTCCGATTT